GTTGTGTTGGCCTTGCTTGAGATGTGATTCTTTTGTTGGGCTTTGGAGGAAGCAAGGTTTGAACCCTTCTCAAGCTTCTTCACCATGTTATCACGGTTATCTTGAGAAGGTTGTGCTTTCTCCTTACCCTTCAACCGAATCACATCTTTCTTTAATCTTTGCACTTCTTCTTTGAGCTCTATGTTTTCTATAAGATTTAGCTCAATCAAGATTGGCTTGCTTGAGGAGCACACTCATTAGTACAAGAAATATTTATTTGAGATGGTGTACTAGTGAGCGGATGTGTGAGAGGTTGAGAGAATTTTACCGATGTAATCACAACCTCATGAGCCACCTCAAGCATGATGCTTGATTCTACTACTTCCTCATGAGAGCACTTTAGATGAACATAATTTGCTTGTAGCTCATTATACTTGCTTGATAGTTCATCTAGCCTTGCCTTGAGCTCGAAGTTTTCCTTCTCTAGTTGTGAAACACTAGAAGAGGAATTAGTAACTAAAGCATGCTCGATTGATAATTTTCATACCTCTCATTTATTGCCTTTAGCTCTTGCAATTTGGAGATGAGAAACTTTTCTTGATTTTGAAGCGATTGCTCTTGCTTCTCAATCTCTTCTTCAAGCTCATCATTCTTTTCAACTATCTTCATGATGATGAACTTGTCTTTATGGTTGAGATGATCAAGGTTGTAGTTGTCTTCAATTTCAACATCACTCTTATCTTGATCATCTACTTGTGCTTTCTCCTTTTCTTGATCTTTCTTGTTATTCTTCTTCTTGCTTTTCTTGGCCATGAGACACAAGTGATGAGTATCATGAGATACTGAGGTTGACTCATCACTTGGTCGCCATCGGGCTTGAGCATCGCTTCTAAACAATTTGCTTGTCGGTTCTGCCGCCTTAGCCATACCGGACACGTCCGGTGAGGCATACTGGGACACGTCCGGTACATGCAGAAGCAGAACAGACAGGTCATCTTATTGCTTGCACTTCTTGCTCGGCTCGGCACTCTTGAGGTTTTGTGAGGCTTCTTCATTGTATGAAGACACAATGGATATTCTTTCCATTGACTCGATCTCAAGTGCATCATCACATTTGGATTTTCCATATAAATCAAAAGTCTAGTCCAAATGAGATGAGCACTCTCCGGAGGTGGTTGTCCATTGAATATTGCCTCATCTTGAACCTCTACACTTAATGTACTCAAAATAATATTAATAGCTTGAGCATTGAGTTGCACGCATATTTCTTCCTCTTTTGATAAATTTTTGTAGTTGCTCCAATCAACTATAGAAAGAGGTATGCTTGCATCTACAATATGCTCAACAAGAGGACTAATATCTCTAAAAGCATTGAGTACATGTATTGACCAAGTTAGAAAGTTTGAACCATCATTTTGGAGAAGCACCGACTCCAACTCGATAGGCGTCGACATCCTTTTCTCACGGCGGTGAAGCTTTAGGTGAGAACCTTGCTCTGATACCAATTGAAAGGACCTAGGATGCCGCCTAGAGGGGGGGTGAATAGGCGTTTCTGAAAAATAACACCTTTAAATGCGGAAACAATTAGAAAGGAGAGTTTCCAAAATGGAAACTCCAAATTAAGAGTACTACCACCCCTCACAAGTTAGCCACAAAGTAAACAAGGTATAAAGAATATATCTACAAGCTACAACCTGCAACACCAAGTTAGAACAGAGAATAAATATTTTCAAAGTCTGGCGGTGAAAATACGGACGATGTCGGGTATGAATACCGGACGTGTCCGGTATACACGATTTCTACAAATCGGCCCCGAACTTGCTCCTTTCGATTTCTATCTTCAAACCAAACTGCAGGCACCTAATGGAGATGACAATATACACAGAGAACCTGCAGAACAGCTAGAGCAACACAAATATCAAATGAAATGCGATTTTAGACACGATATTTGTTTCACGAGAAGTTCGGACTCGTTCGAGTCCTACTCTCCGTTGAGGGGGCTGCAGGCGACCAGTGAAGGTTAGCCCCCTAGAGGGTACCACGAAGGTCACTCTAGCTGAGTCTTTTCCAACTCCTTTTCCTCCTTCCACTAATTTGATTCCGAGGCGGCGGAATCGACCGTTACTAAACTTTCCGAAGCAACCACAATCTCTCGGTTGCTCTCCGTGACGCTACCGCCTAGGACCGAAGAGTCCAAGAGTAACAAATCTGAATCACGAGATTGACAATATGCACAAGTGCTCAAGTGGTGGCTTGCTCTCTTTTTCAAATTCTCTCTCAACCCACAAATTGATTTTGCAATTTGGATCACACACTCACTAAGAGAGGGTTTAGGAGAGTTGGCAAGGCTCAAAAACGTGTGTCTATCTCAGCAGAATCAGCAGCCTCCAAAGGTGGAGGCTTGGGGGTATTTATAGCCCCCTTGAAAAACTAGCCGTTTTATAGCCGTTGCAATACCGGACACGTCCGGTATGCATACTGGACACGTCCGGTATGACTCAGACTGTGCCAACGGTAACTAAGTTCTGATGATGTTGTGAGGCGTCGGAACTCCCGAAGTATGCCGGGACTTCCGACCGTCGGAACTCCCGACCCTCAGCAATTTTGAAAAACATGTAACTGAGTTAAAGTTAGTGAGGTGTCGAAACTCCCGACGCATGTCGGAACTCCCGACCCTCACGGCTTTTGAAAACTAGCCGTTGGCTTCGGTCATCCATACGGACACGTCCGGTGTGAATACGGACACGTCCGGTATGACCGAGACAGATGAAACCTCTAAGTCTGTTGAAGTGCGAGGCGTGGAACTCCCGACCCATGCGGGACTCCACCCGTCGGAACTCCCGACCTACGTCGGAACTCCCGACAAAGCAACCCGAGAACAACAATTTTACAGTTCTTTGGACAAATACAGGACACGTCCCAGACATTGCCGAACAAACAAGAAATCGATTAGCACATTTGTCGCTCAAATAATCAAACCTCACATGGGTTGGGTTGAGCACTTATGAAACATTATCTATCAACATGATGCATCCCTCTTAATAGTACGGCATACCTATTAAACTCAAGATCAAAGGAAAATGAATTTATACCACTTGAGTTGATTTCTTTTGAATTGATGCCGTCCTTCCAATCTTCATCAAGTAAGGGTGCTAACAAGTTGATGTTGATCTTTCATTTGAGCATAGCCATCTTGAGCATGTGACTTGATTCCATTCATCAAATTTGAATAACCCCAAACGTATCAAGTCACTTCCATCAAATACTTCATTATAGGTTTGATTCTTCACATCAATATGACCATCTTAGCTTGATTAGTACCTCAACTAAATGCAAGTACTTTCTTCTTCACCCTAGCTAGGTTCTTCGACCGCCAAGCCGTCAACACCCTTCACCCTTGCTTAGTATCTCAAGCCTTTCCTTGCTATCTTCACCATCTCAAGCCATCAAGTCACATCTTGTGTTGAATCATCCATTCATATGTATTGTTATCTTTTTCATTTTAATTTAGCAAGCTTCAAATATGAGACCATTCCATATGCAATCCCTCATGTCTCATTAACTAATAATCATGAGCTTGCTTTCACATAGTACATGGAAATCCCACAAAAAAATAAGCCTTCACATGAATTCCATTTGCATTGTTGTCTTGTGCTTGAACTAGATTGTTTATACAACAACACATCATTTTGGCTTTCATTAAGTACCTGTGAGATAACCTATTACCTGTTCACACTTAGCAAACGGGTTAGTCCTTTAATCACGTTGTCATTCAATCAACCAAAACCCACTAAAGGGCTAGATGCACTTTCAGGTATGTACTGTCTTCTTTTCCTGGCTGCCATCTTCAGGTGGAAGAATCTTGTACATGCGTCTCCTGCCTTAATAAAGTTCAGTCTAGACGCATGTCTTCTCCTACTCCTCTCAATCGCCGCTAAGCCCAATATCCTGATTTTGAGGTCTTGCCGTAGAATATTCTCTTGTTCTGATAGCCGTTTGCTTTCTTGGGCAACATCTAACCTGAAAATAACCTCGTTTGCAATGTATAGCTGCAGGCATAAATTGCTGAAAAGCACTTTGCTCCAGGTTCTTAGCGCCTGTGCCGTCTCTGCTAGCCGTCTGTTCAGTACAGTTTGTGCTGAGCCCGCCTGTGGTTTGGTCCAGGCAGTCATGACCATGTCCCGGAAGCCATCCACCTTGAGCCAATGGTTTTCAAATCTAAACACCGCTTTCCTGATCACTCAATCTTTTCGGTGAGAAGCAAAGGATGATGGGTCCGAGGCTCCCATTGCGAGCATTTGAGGTGAAATTTGGAAAGGCCGTTTCCCTCATGGTTGCAAAACACCACCTTCCTAAACGCACCAAGGTAGGGGGTCCTCTTCGTTTGACCATGTGTACTTCCTATTCTGCAGATGCAATCTCCATGAGTTCGCATTCATCTAGAGCTCTTGAAACTTTCCCATCAGCCTTCTGTTGAGGTTGAGGTTGTTTTTGTCACTGGCTTGGTAGATTAGGTTAAAATCTCCTAAGATGATCCATGGTACCCCAACAGTTGGCTTGATAGCATTCGATTCAAACAAGGAAGTCTTCTTTTACTGTGATCATCCATTTGGTCCATAACATGTAGTCATTAGAAACCAGGGTATCGAGGAGGCAACTTTGATCATAGCTGAGATGGTGAAAACTCTATTCACAGCATTTGACATTGAGATCATATCCTTATTCCATGCCAAGAGTATGCCACCTCTAGTCCCTTGGGCCCCCAGCTCAAGGTAGGAGTCCAGATAGTGCCCAAAGGTCTCCATGGCAATGGTATTCTTTGGCTTCTTGAGTTTGGTTTCTCAGAGGCACACTATCATTGGCATGAGTAGTTAACTATCTGTCTGACAAGCTCTCGGTGAGCAGCATCATTTAGGCCTCTTACATTCCATGTCAATACAAAAAGGTCACTGCTATCCATAAACAGACAAGTAGGCAACTGGGATTAAACGAGTGACAGGCAGCAGCACACATATACTCTCCTAGCCCCGTTGTTCTAACAGTCCAAGGGTGCCAGGCACATTCCAATTCTGAGCACAACTCAACCTCAAGTTCTGCCCATGACTATCCACAAGACACTGCAACCAGACCATACCACTCTCCCACTCAGGACACAAACAAAGGGCTACTCCCTTGACAGATCGACCCGATAACAAAGGGACATGATCCCAAATGACACCACTCTATAGTGCTCCCTTACACATAACACTCTACCGATTATCATGACATAGCCTTGCCTTGCATGGCCTTGAAGCATATCCTCCTCAGGCTCCACCATCCTCCATGGCCTCGGCTCCCTCAACCGCCGCTAAGCTGTCTGTTGCTTTAAGCACCGGTCCATTGTCCAATGAGGTAAGCTTCCGCCTTCTTGCAATCTGCTTTCTGAGGGATAGGGGCGTGGCAAAGCGGTTGGCAAAGGCCGCCGATGCCTCATCCCCAATCGGCTCATTCGGCCCCACTGTCTTGAAGGCCTTAATCGGTCTATGAGTTGCACGCTTGTGCACCGCACCGAAAGCAGACCTTTTGCCACCGCTGGTGCTCCTCCTCAGCCCCCACTGTAGTCTTCATCACCTTCGTCCGCCCAGTATCCTTGCTGCTCTGCTTCGATGCAGTCGGTGTCGCCAGGACAGGCTGTTCACAGGGGACAAACATGCTCTCGACAATGGTATTCCTACGGTCATCCAGTATGAGCTCTGCGACCTTTTCGGTGATGCCAGTTGTGATCACCTGGCACTCAATCTCTTGCTGCACCCCAGGTCCGAAATGGATGACATTGCCATATCCCAAGGCAGTCGCCTCCTCGTTCAGCTCCACAAGCTTGTCCAAGTTGGCTCTGCAGTTGGCCACATAGACCGGAGATCGCTGCTCCTCCAGCGATGGGCTTCCAGGCGGGGAGAAAGATAGCGGCTTGGTCATCGCAGCCTCACACGCTGCCAGCGCCTCCCCGATCATTGGGTCGTAGTCACCAAGGGGGCGGGTGGGTGCAGACCAGAGGTCACCAGTGCACGTCTCCTTGTAGAAGTTCAGCATTGGGTCCGGGTGCCTCGGTGGCGGTGGTGGCGCTCCAACCGCTCTAGGAAGTGTCCCCAAGAGCAGGGCAGAACCGAGGTCCCCCTTGCCGAAGTCCATGGCCACCTCCCCGCGTTGAGATTTGGCCGTAGGGGAGCGTGATCTGCGGTGCTCCCAGTCAGCATCCTCTCGCCGCAGCGGGTCACGCATGTGAGGGGAGTTGTGGCCGTCAAGCACTGTGTACCTACCATGACCAGCTCGTTCTGGTGTCTCCACACCCTCATCAGCATTCCACTGCCTGGTCAGCGGTGGGGAGCGGGTGCGCTGTCTGGCACCACCTCCATTGCTGGTGGAGTCCCAGTGGCGCAAGGACGAGTTGAGTGCTGCACCTGCCCGAGCAAGGAAGCCCGAGAGTGGCCCGCTAGCCATCGCCATCTCCGTTGTCACCATCATGTCCTCCAGCCGGTGCGGCCCTAGGAAGTGGGTGGCAAGCATCTGCCCTTGGCCTCGCGCGGAGGCCATCCAGCACGCCAGGAGTCCAGTCTTCAAAGTTGTAGATCCTGGGGTACTCATCCGACTCAGAAGAGACAGAGGAGGGAGCCCCACTCTGGCCCGAGCTAGGGGTGCGTGTCCTGGGGGGGCTCCAGTCTTCTACCAAGTCGAGGTGGATGAGCAGGTTGTGGCTCATGCCACGCGGAGGTGGAGCCACCTCACTGGGCCGCGCCTCTGCCCCGATCACCGGCGGCGCCTGGGCCGCATTGTGCATGAAGAAAGTCACCATCTTGGCGCGCGGCAGCAGGTCAGGGTACCACATCCAGGCCCAGCAGTACAGCATGTCCGAATCCTACTGTCGGAAAGTGGCGCGGTCAATCTTGTCGAAGAGGCAGATGTCGCCCAGCATCTCCCTGAGTGCCGCAAGGTTCCATGCGTGCCTAGGTAGGTGCTCGATGGCCATCCTGACGTGATACCACCAGGTGACCTCCCCGCCATGTGCATGCTCGCGCCATGGAATGATGTTGAAGAGGACGCTCTTCACCCGCACAGCACCAACGCGGAGTGCCAGGGTCCTCTGGTGAGCCTGTTCGAAAACGATCATGAAGTCCTCCGGGCGGTGGCGCGTGGTGCGCATCTCGTTTGGTGGCATGCGAACAAAGCCGGCCACAACTCTGCTCACGTCACCAATGTTGATGTCAACATGCGGCGGTCTGGCCCGCACCACCAGGAACACAGCATTGGTGCGGAGCCTGGTGGCCGCCGCCATCATGTCCGGCGAGATAATCAGCGCCACGCGCCTGCCGCCGGGCGGTTCTCCGGCATCCACAGGTACCAGTTATCAGTCCTCCTTCGCTCGGGCGGCGGCACCTTGGCATCTTCCTTTTCACACCCCTTGATCAAGTCCCCGCTCACCTTCCTCCTGCTCAAGCGCGAGGAAGACGAGACGGCTCGGATGGTCGGCGCTACTTGCTTATGGAAGGAAAGGCGGGAATGGATGGAGGGTCTAGGGGTTTTAGTCCGTTAGGATCGGTGGTCGATGGGAACCCGCCGCTTAGCGAGGCAATGACGAGGCAAGGTAGCCGCCTGCGGTGACAAGCCGAGACAGCGGATAGGGTCGCGACAGTCAGCGAGCTTATGATCTTGCCCAAGGCATCGGAAGCACCTACCGGTAAAGGAGGTTTTATAGCCCGCCGATGGGCCGGACCTCCCCGCCACGAGCAGCGGCCTCCAATGGGGCTTTACTCTGCTATGCAGACGGCTTAGGTGGGCATTAACCCGAGCAGTTGGTGGGCGTGAGCGAACCGCATCGCGAAGAACTCCGTCCCCCTCGGCGCACTTTTGATGGGATCGTTCGGCACCTCGGGACGGTGAAGCTCAGACACAACAACACAATTTTGTGAAAGTTTGTCGATTACCTCGCCCTTGCCGTGGCCATCCATGCGCGCCTCCGTCGCTGGCGCAGCAGCAGAGGGGTTAATGTCCCTGGCACCGCCGCAGCGCGTCGCATCACCCACGGTGTCCAACCAGGCTCCTTCAGCGCGCACCAGCTGTGCCCCCTGGTCCGAGGCACGCGTCGATGTTGAAGCCGGCTGCAGGCCATTGATGGTGCGGCCCACGCCAGCAGAGCTCGGGGCAGGGCCATGAAGAGCGCGCTCTCCCTCGCCTCCCGACCCACCAGTAGCCATAGCCTGTCGGCTATTGGGGTAGCCTTGCTGCATGGATGAATCCGGCGCTTTCAGGGGGGTCGGATGTGGTGCTTGAAGAGCGCCCATGGTTGGTAGGGGCTCAGCCGCAGCAGCGCCATCGGCGCCGGCCAAGTCGAGGCGGGCGGCGGTAGTAATTGCGCCTGCATCCTCTGCATCTCCTCGCAGCCCTTCCTTATCGCCGCGCAGGTCTCCAGCAATCAAGATTTGCCGGTCGCCCATGTGCATAGTTTCTGAGCCCGCCGGATCTAGGTCTTGGACCTTCCCCCTTTCCGCCAGATCTGGATCTTGGAGCTTGCTCGTTGACAACTGGCCATAGGCGTCGTCCGCGTCTTCAATGGAGCCCCAATCGAGGAGCTCCGGATCTGCCTCCTCTCCCGTGCCTGGCCCTGGTGGCAGCTTCTTGGGGTCGTCATCCTCCGGTGTGTGGATGTGGCCGCCAGCGGCGCGGGCGCCCGCTGGACGGAGCGCGTCTCCCATCCTCCACGAAAGCTAGTTACTAGGATAAAGCGAGGTGGACGCCGGTGCCAGAGTGGCAGCCGGCGGGGTGTTGGTGGCCGCCGGCGGAAGGAAGGAGGAGGAACCGAGGAGTCGAAGGGTCGTCGTATTCTTCATTGTGATGGGGATGTGGACCTGAAGCTGCGCAAGTTCAAGATAACATTCAACTGGGGGAACCTCAAGGAGACTCTCTGCCAGCTGGGGCTGACGCTGCCGTTCTCGCCAGAGGCCGCCAACCTGCGGGGCATGTGCAACGGGGACGAAGGTGACGGCAAGTCACGGCGGACAACGTTCCTGAGCAAGGTTGCACACATGGCAGTGGGCCAGTGGTTAATGTGAACGAGAAGGGAACTGAGGCTGGAGCAGTGGCATTCCACGTGCGTGGTGGTAGCGGGCCACCGCCTGACCTCGTCGAGTTCACCGCCGACCATCCATTCACCTTCTTCATCATGGAGGAGCGGTCTGGGGTGATCGTGTTGGTAGGACACGTTCTTGACCCTACCAAGTGATACTCTGAATTCTGAAATGTCACTAACTGCTTCCTGGATCAGTTCGGCTGTTGCTCGTGAAGTACTGTTATGTTCTTATAATTACTGCTTCCTGAATCAGTTCGGCTGTTGCTCGTGAAGTACTGTTATATTCCTATAATTTTGGTGTTACTGTGGACTCGGTTCAGTGATTGCATAGGGTACTCAGGAATGGACGAAATGTTTTAGTGATTGCAACTGTACCTCCATTTGGTATTCTGTGTATCTTTTCGGAATATAGTCTGGGTAAACATTTACCATAACAGTTCTAGAACTTAATTAAAACAAAAACCTGAGAAACACTCACATTTCAATTCCATGTGTTTTTGCAAACCAAACCATCTCTATGGACAGCACAGCCCTGTTAAACTGACTCAACAGCACCTCTTGAAAAGAAAATACAATGTCATTATAGACTAACTCTAATTTCATTCAAAAATATGGCAGTTTCTGCACAATAAGCCAAGCTCAGTGGACAACAAAAGTATAGCAACCTGAATCTGGCCAAACCATGTTCACTAAGTATTTCACCACATGAGTGAGGCTGCAGAACACTGTAAGCACATTGTGAACATGAAAATGGAAATTATATTATTTGCTGTCATTCATGGATAGATGACTGCAAAATAGTTCAGAACACAAACCACTCTATAGTGGTACAATAGATGTAGCAACCTGAACAAACAGCAAGGAAGCCTACAAAACATCAAGTGGGGACAAGGTACACTGAATCATCATAATTCTCTATCCTAATAAACATGGTGATGATCGCTAAAACAATCACAATCATGCTCAGAACAAAAGTGAATTTTGTTCTATACTTCCTCGTCTTCACTATGCTGCTTGTAATACAGACATCATCCTCTTTAAGTTCAATTTCAGGGGAAGCCTTGCTCGATGTGTTCTCAGCCTCGGTAGTGGAAAGTCCTGATTCATCGGCATTGGATAGAGTCTCAGTCCTATCATTGCTGTTCTGCATATCAATGGTTTCATTCTCATCCTTCATCTCATCAGCTTTGCTGTCTGAATGCAGAGATTGCATCTGTTCAGATGAGATCACTAGTTCCTCATGTTCCTGATCTGGTGATGATAAGCCACTGAGCTTTGCAGTGGATTGCCCCACAATGCTAGCAGAGTCAGAGTCGTATGAGCTTTGAAGCAATCGGAGAAGCTTCCTTGGTGTTGAGTATATCTTCACGTTATCAATGCTGATCGGCCTGTCTGAAGCCTAAGGGGGAAAACAGAACAGTAAAGTTAATTACTGGCTCAACTGAGGAACTGTACAATGCAACTCATGAAGCACACATTGCACAAAAGAACATAAAGCAAATCTTGGAAGATTTATTAAAACAGTTGAGATATGTAAACATATTTACCCTGGGACTGGGAGTCTTGTCTCTTGATATGGAGCCATTTGGGCTTCGTGACACAAATCCTGCAAATGTGTTAGTGCACTCAAAGTTAGCATCAGTCACCTCACTGTCACAGACCTCGCCCAAGTCATCTTCATAGGAATTGCTGTTTGAGCAAAGCTGAATGAACAAGCCATCCTTCAGAGAAACATCGAAGCCATCATTGTTCCACAACCTCCGGTTCGTGCGCCGACTCTGATCGAAGTTGCAAGAGGACTGCCCGACTGAGACCGGCGATTCGGTGAGTGTGCTGCCATTCATGATAGACGAATCCACAACCTGGGATTCCGGGGACCTGAACTGGGCTGGAGAAGCAGCGACGGTGGAGCCTGCAGGGCTGCCCTTGCACTCCAGAGGCTCCTGCACGGGCTCTTCTCCTTCTCTTGTGAAAATTGGAGCCAACCATTGGGCTTGTGCCAACCTCATGTCTTGATCCCTTCTGCGAGGCGATGCTCTTCGCGCTCTGTGATGCCTCAAATGCAGCACCTCGCACGAACGGCATGCGGTCATTCTGGCACTTCTCCATCACAGCAATCACCCTGCCAAGCTCTGAAGACAAGCACCTGGGGTCAACAAACTTCATGAAGAAGTTGATCATCTGGATCGCCGAGAGGCGCTTCTGCGAGCTGCTCTCCGCCGTGTCCCCATCGAGGATCTGCAGCCCCGACCGCACAATGGACCTCGCGTACGCCTCCGCAATCAGGCCATTGTGCTTCACCAGCGCCATGGCGAGGCCCATGTGCGCGTTCGAGCGCGTCGCCCGGTCGTGCATCGCCCCGGCCACCTTGAGGCAGACCTCGTTCACCATCTCCCCGGACGCGAACCTCCAGTTGGTGGACTCGACGAGCGCCTTCAGGCACAGCGCCGCGCGCGGACGCGGCGCCGCCGTCCTGCTGGGTCGTCCCCATGAGTGCGCCGCAGAGCGGCCTGCAGAGGGACGCGATGATGGCGGCCTTCTCGTCGTCGGGGCGTGGACGACGGGTCGATGCCGTACCGCGCGATGGCGGGCACCACCTTGGAGCAGGCCTGGTGGAGCGGGAAGGATCCCCCGCTGGAGGAGAGCGTGCGCATGATGGTGGCCATGATGTTGCCGATCTGCGGCACGATGTTGCGCCCGTGCACCCGCGCCAGCACCTCGTAGAGCGAGATGGTGAACTCACCGGTCGGCATGCCGGCGCCTGCGGCGCCGCCCGCGGCCGTGGTGGTGTCGGAAACCTCGGCGAGGAAGTGCGGGATAGACTTGGAGTCCAGGTGCCTGGCGTAGGACTTGAGCGCCTTCATGGCGGCGCGGCGGCTATCGGCGTCCTTGTCCAGGTTGTCCAGCTCCTGCCGCAGCAGCGGGCTCAGGCTCCGGCCCATCGGCGGCCGGCGTGCAAGAAACGAAGCTCTGTATGCAGAACAAACGAAACAAACAATTCAGACTCATAAAAAGGGCGCGTTTTTTAGGCGTCTGAGGACAGAATCAAGCGCAAGAACCACGGAATCGGCGGCCGCGTCCATCGAATCCCGACGGGCGTCAGATTTTAGCTGCCTATCTCGCCCGAAATTACTGATTTGCATTCATAGCGCAGCGCAGGGGAGAGTTAAAAGAGGAAATGGACGAACATTAACCGACCAAACCAAACCAATCCAGAGAACCGCCGGACCAGCCCTAAATCAGCCACGCAAGAAGAAGCGTGCGATGTTCCAAGAACGGGAGAGGCTGATGAATCAACGAGACTGGCAAAGAAGTTTGGGCGTTGCATTGAACTGACCTGGATTCAAGAACTCAAGAACTGGACTGAAAAAGGCCTCTCTCTCTCTCTCTCTCTCTCTGCACGGCTCGAATTCAAATTGCCAGGCGGCAGTAGGAGAAGGGGCGGAGCGAATCAAAAATCTACCAGCACCAGCAGCTCAGATCCGCCCGCGGGGGGTAAAACGGGCAGGGGCTCCCCTCTCGGCGTTTTCGAACCGAGGGAGCAAACCCGGCCGACTTTTTTCACTCACGTTCGGCCAGCCACAGAGAGAAGACGAGTCCAGGAGGCCCACCTGCAGCCACAGGCGCAGGCGCGGGTGCGGGTTCGCGAGAGCGGGGTGGCGTTTCCAGGTGAGGGGGCCGCGGAGTTTGAATTTGGGGTGCCGGAATGACCGTTCTGCCCTTGGGACCTTTGACCGTTCGTGTTTCTGCCACGGTCACCCACGCCCCGTGCTGGTGGTGGGGTGTGAACTTGGCGACAGTGTTCGTGGGCTGGGCTCGTGGCTCGGTTTGTGGCGCGTTTGAACCCATGCGCCAATGGGCCAAGTGGCCAGCAGGTGGCAATCACCTGGGCTTCACCCTCGGCCTGCACGACACGAGAGGTTCGATTAATAGTGGCCCAATCTCAGTGCGCTAACCATCTCCAAACCTCGGAGCAACTCAAAGAGACATTGTATCCTACTCGCTATCAGTAATTTTTTTTTAAAAAAAAGGCTCCAAGAGACTCGGTAACAGCGTTTGTAAAATAATAAAGAGCTGGCTATCTCATTTTTTCCAATCAGCAATTAAGCCAGCGGGCTTAGCTGGCCATCCGTAGCGTTCAGTCATTTCTCACGCCGTCGTGGCCTCCTTTTTCCCTCCACACGCATTTTAAAGCCAACAAAAAAGTGACAGATTCAATCAAATTTGATTGAATTAGTGATAACGAGGTAACTTTAGAAAACAAAGAGTCAGATTTAGAGTCTGTTGTAGACAGTATCTGTTTTTAGCAATCTATATTATTTTAGAGACCTAAATTACCATTAACTTTTGGAGTTGCTCCGAGCCTGACACACAAAAACACCTTCCCTCACAGCCACAACCTCCATCCTAGGCCAGTGGCTCCTGCTCTGCCCCTCATCTCACGCCGCTCGCAACAGCACAGACATCTACTGCTCTAATCACAGCGTTGCTTGCTCCGTCCTCTCCACCGCCCGCATCTTCCTCCACACACTCCTGATCTGACCAACGACCATGGCCACGGCTAGGGCCTCCACAACCACCATATAAAAATCATGGCGGTTGGCGGGGAAAGGCGTCAGCGCTATCCTCAAACGCGTGACGGCAACTGCAACACAAGCCAATGTTTGTCTAAACGGTTGTTTACAGTGGGTTCACATAAAGGTTATGCCCTAGACACAAGACGCATCTAAACGGTCGAACTTGTCAAATAAACGATTTCGACGATGGTATTAAACGGTGTGTAAAAGCGAAAATATACCTTTAAACTGTTGTTTTGGTGATAAATCACAGTAAAAGGTTGGGTGCTAGATCAACTCTTTGGGTCGGTGAAATTGGATTTGCGTGTGGAAAAGAAATTTTGGTGTTTCTCCGACGTTGTTTAATTTATATGACTATGTGGATGATTATTTACATATATAATTGTTTATTGTCTATATGTCAAATTGTGTAACTATGTTCCGTGTCTTAATTTACACTTAAAATTTTATATAAAACTCTATATCTACTGCTACAGTGCGAATTGTTCAAATCGTCTAGTTGGTCGTCTAGACTGTCTAACACTAAGGCTAACTGTTTAGCTTTTAGGTACTTGACGTTGAGTCTTCAAAATATCTCTTCCTTAGAAATTAGAATCTCCTTAGAGTTGAACTTGTTATTTATACGTTGAGTGCTTCCTTGACAGAATTGCCTGGGGCCCTGGGCAAGAGAGCCCAGGTCTCAGCCGCGAAGCAAGCAAGCAGGCCCAGGTGCTACTGCTATCCAGCCAGCCTCCAGGAGACATGGGTCGTCACTCGTCGTCCTGCATGACCCACCCATTCTCGGGTCTATTCCAAAGCAACGTGTCGCACTCGTTTTTTTTTAGTTGTACTCGGATTATGAACTGCTGTGGTTCGGTCTTGAGTAGAGATGTCAACGGGCCCGTTTCCCGAATCCCCGCGGGGAATTCATTCATTAGGGGATGAGGATAGTATGAATTCTACCCCCACGGGGGATTAAACGGGGCTGAAGTTATCTCCGTCGGAGATCACGGGGGCGGGGATGGTATACAGGCCCCCGTCCCCGCTCCCCGCGGGGACCCGATTCCAAAGGCCCATATACTGGCAATGCCCAATACCTATGATATATAAGCAATGTTGCAACCCTAGCTTCTGTCGAAACGATCAACGGAAACGCGAAACGAAAGTTACATTTCATAGTCCCGTTATATCACTTAGGGTTTTAAGCCAATTTTTATTAAGCGAAAATGCTATAGAACATATATGTGCTACTTAAATAAAGTTTAAAGTGCAAACTTTATAGATGACGATGAAATACCTGCGGCCCATGGAGATCCCCACGGGGACTAATTCCCCGCGGGGACGGGGATGGGGAGAAAGTCTCCCCCGTGGCACTTGACGGGGACGGGGATGGGGAATTTTTCCCCCACGGGGACGGGGATGGGGAGGCACTCCCCGACGAGGAATTCCCCGTTGACAGAGTGAGTCTTGAGATGATTTCCAAAGGTTGTGAACGTGAAGTTGGCAGGTTTATATTTGCGACAGCAGTAGCGTCCGGACGCCCGCGCCTGGTGCAACGCCCACGCTAGCACCTGCTACACGCATAGGCGGGACCCGCCCGCTCCACTCCTTCGTGCTTCCCTGCTTTCCGCGCCACTCCAAGCCTGCTACATACGCCACTTCCCTCCATGCACGACGCCCCAACACCTGCAGCAGGTAGCTGCGGCAAGTGACTCACATTGTAACATGCACAATACCCGATCTACTTTTAAAACATTCAAATGAAACAATTGCAACATACGTACGAAATAGTTGAAACATTCAAAACATACACCTAAAACACATGCAAAAATACATGAAAACGCTTGAAAAACAATTGCAAACATATGCAACATCCAGATAAAACGCTTGCAACATATGAGTAAAACAAATGCAACATCTAGATAAACACACTTGCAACATACGTCTAAAAATGAAACGAACATTTGCAACATACGTGTACAATCACTGCAACATATGCAACATCTAGATCTATTTTTGCAACATCTGCATGAAACACTTGAAATAGACCTCCAAAATATCTGAAACACTTGAAACATGCGCTTGCAACAGGGGGTAGCCTGGGGCCGGGGGACTCCAGCCGTCGGGGTCAGAGCCGGCACCGCGCGAGCACCACCACCACCGTTGCTAGCAGCATCGGGGGTGGGCTCAAACGGGCGGGTGGCGCGTCTGATGGGCAGGAGCGAGCGGCGGGGGATGGGCGCGCGACAACAGCGAGGCAGAGTGGGTGCGCGGTGTCCGAACGGGAAGGCCGCGGTTGGAGAAGGCCGACGCGTTAGAGAAGGCCAGCGGCGGGCGGGCGGCGTGGTGGATGCGCCCCCCGACAGTCCAATTGAAAGGTCCTTGTTTGGTTTTGGTAATTGAGTGACAACCTAGGTGGACTAATATGTGTTTAAGTGAGATACACAGGTGATTAGTCCACAAGTATATGTGTGTGAGCAACATATGCCATGATGGTGAAGATGGCTTGGAGTTGTTGCAAAGCTTACACATGTGATGATAAAGGAGCTCATTGCACATGAGACATGACATTGAGTCATGTGATCAAGGTGGAGAAGATCAAGACATGACTTGGCTCGATGGACCGGTTGCAAGTGTGAAGGGCAAGTTGAGTGATGACTTCGCGCCGATGGACCGAATCAATGGTGAAGAGCAAGTGAGGTCAAGATCGATCAACCAATATGGTCACGTGATGATATGGAGTGGATCATATCATTGTCGATCATGTTGGTGCATGTGTTGTGTCAACATCGAAGGAGTTAGAATGGAATGTGCAAGGCAAATGTATAACCTAGGGCATTTCATTTCACCAGTCATAGGTGTGTAGAGAAGTTTTTGACCGGGTTTAGGATAGACGGCCATACTATCAAGAGGGCAAACTTGTTTGCATATCGGTCATCTAGTGCCACTTGAGTGATCTAACTTTGCATTGTTGCTAGGATCGAGTGGCGCGAAAAGTTGAGTGGTTAACTCCTTAAAAATGATTGTGAAAAATGCTAACACACTTGCACATGGTGGTGTACACTTGGTGATGTTGGCACATTTGCAAAGGAGGAGAAGTTGGAGTTGAAACGGATCAACTCGGTGAAGAAAAGGAGTTGAAAGCGCTAGTCACGGGGTGACCAGACGCGTCCGACATAAGGACCGGACGCGTCCGCTATCGATACTGGACGCGTCTGATATTCTGGCCAGGCGCAGGGAGTGTAACTGGTTGACCGGACTTGGAGAAGACAAGTGACCAAACTCTGGCTAAACACTGTTCAATGTCTGGTCCTACTGATGTGATGGCACACGGAATTTGGTCCAGAGAGGACCGGACACAGGGGTGCGTCCGGTCGGCCACACCG